CTCCCTCAATACTACAACTCTTCTTCCCTCCCATCATGGCTGTTCCTACAGTATCTGATTCTGAGACCAGTCGACACAGCCCAACCCCGCCCACTCTCCTTCTAAAACGGCGGGGGTATATTGATGCAATGTAATGGCGAATTTCCTCTCCTACCACCACTTTCCTACCTCCCAATTACATCCACCAAATCTCTCAAAAAACCAATCTAAATCGCCTCGCCATTCACTCAACAAATTACTAATCCCACTCAACCCCTGAATGCGACCCCCTTCCCAAAATCAACCACAAATGCGACCCCCTCGTTCGAATAGTGCGAACGCACGGTTGACCCTGCTAGCGCATCGTTCCACACCATTGTCGAAGGTGAAAACCTTGCTGGGACTGTTGCTTCGATATATTCCGAGAATTTCCCCCGGAATGGAACCAGTGGAGACGAAGACACGGTGAGGTGACACGGGGTGGCTAATTACAAAGTGTATGGAAGGACGTCGCTATAACACGGAACAATGGAAGGTTTGTGGCGTCGCACGGTGACTTATTACTACACACCCACTGAAATTTGTAGTGCACGCCACGAACTGCTTGACCACTCGCTGTAACCATTCTCAGTGAAAACATTGTAATCTGTAGATAGTGAGGAAAAACATAGTCGAAACAAATCTTCATGGAGAAAAAAATATACAGGATTCTGACTTGAAGTAGTAAATAAAGCAAAAGATGACAAGAACGTCGCACAAACAATGCGCAGGCGCAATAGACTTAGATAGCACAACAACACCGTTGAATGTACTCCATATGAAAATCAATATTTTCTACCTGAACCTGATTTGGGCGAGTTAACATGGAAAAAAGGTCAGAGTTTTCAGGTCAATGCAGTACGACACTTATTCCTCCACAAGAACCATATTTGAGTTGAAGACCACATAAAGAAGTGACTACTTTTCGAATTTATAAGTTTCTAAAGGGCAATGCAGATTAAAGTTTTTTCACGGAAAGGCCCGGGGTCTGCATTTTTCAAAGCGAATGGTTTTTCATGCACAAACTCACGATCAAGCAAATCGTTAGTAAGTGGCCTCCATTTTCTGAGCGATCATTCGCCAATACAGGTTTTAGTGAGTGATGAATTGAGTGCGAAGCTCACAGTTTTATGGTATTCTAACACCCATTTCTATTACCTAAAGGATCGGCACTGATCTCAATATGTAATTAGGTAATGAAAGAAAAAAAACTGAGGTAAAGTAACCACAAAGAAAATACCTTGTGTGTGACCACTCGTAAACACTAGGTTCGTGAAAAAGGAATAAGATACAGAGCCCAGGCATAGAAAAATGATCACTTGTCACACAAAACCGGATAAAGACACACGGAAAAAATACTCGAAAGCGCACGGGATGTCAATAAAAGCATCACATTAACACCACTTCGCATTATAAAGTATCTACACAATGTAAATTGAATCTCATACCTCAATTACGTAAATTCAGAAGCAGATCTTAATTAGTTTCAATATGTCACAGAACCAAAAACTGTAGCATCTCTCACAACAAAAATGCTTAGTGCACAACCCTAGGCTTGGAAAAATAAATTGAAGGGAGAAGAAAATATTCAAACTTCAATTTTTACAACGCTACTTTGCTTATTGCAACTATTTTTGCACAGACAGAACGTACCAAATATTTCCTATACTCAAAACCAACACTTACAGAAGATGCTTGTGAAGCGTCAGGTGACTCTTCAAATTTCTGGAGTTTTTCCTGCGAGAACGAACTCCTTCGATACACAACCTCGGATGACCGTTCGATTTCAGGTTTATCACAGAGGGCTGTCGCATACAATATTGTGGACTGGAATGGCAGTAAAGCCGGCCAGCAAGATACCAAATGTATCCGATATCGAACAAAATCCATACTGACACTCTTCGTCAGCGAGTATCTGAATAAAAAAACCATGAAGTCGTTATGAATGAACGCATCCAAATCATCAAATGGAAAGCTATGGTTACCACAGAACTGAGGACAATGGTCATAGAACCACAACAATGGAGAGGCAGGAAACGTTAATCGTGCGTTAATGTCTGCTCTTTTGTGACACTAGAAAAGAAGAAGCAGCGACTACTTCTTCATTAGGCGCTAAGCATGACGCGGGCGCATCGCGATACAACAGTGAACTTCAACCCCAATTTTCTTCGAAAAGTCCTCTTAGGTTATGAAACTCTATGTGCTTCATTCAAATGAGAATTCTATCAGATTGGTGTTTTTTTTTACTGTTTTTGCGCTCAATGGTGCGAAAAACAATAATAGCCAAAAAGATGAGGATTTCCGTGGCAAAAAATTCCAGGTAAAATAAATTCTCATCTCTTAGGGCTAAGGCAGACAAATCCAGGCAACTGAACAACATGAGAACCCGAAAACGAACAAAAATCATAGAAATGATTACACAAGGAACCTGATATGGGGTTTTTGACCACTTCTTTCCTCAAAGGACAAAGGATAAAGCTTTTGCCGTTGATCAATCCCTTTCTGAGATGCGGCACGCATTCTACTTCGATTTGTACATTCGGTAGTGGCGTTTGAATGCGATGTGGGCTATACAATGACTTGCGGGGGTCAGCGTGGGACAGTCGACGCGTGATATGATGTGCATCGACACTTACATCACTTCCGCCCCACTTCTTTCCTTGACTCAAATGATTCTGAGAGCTTTGGCAGAAACTGCAGCTCTTGAAACATTTTGTTTTGTTGGTTTCCCGAAAGCTTTGACATGTGTTCGTTTGTAAGCAGCAAATCCTTCGCCGCGATACGGGTCTTAATGAATGAGATTGTTCTGAGATGCTTAAGGGAGTTTTGGTTGAACCTGAACTGGGTTGAGCTGCAAGCAAGTTGGAATATCGAACATAGCACTCCGTAGTAAAAAAGAGATCAGCAAAAACTTAGTTACTTATGTCAGTACGGCTATGTCAGGAATGATTACAACTTTTGCCCTATATTCCGGTTGCCAAATTTTGAGGATTGCACCCAGTCACTTTTGCCGATTTCATCCATTATTCATGTTGAGCACATCAGTGCTATGGAAACAGCATGGATAGCTATTGAAAGCGAACGCATACGAATTTTCAAAAAGATGCATTGAAATGCGTGCGACCGCACAGCTACTCAGTTAAAGCATTACATCGATCGAACCTGTGAATACAGTACACAACAAAAGGATGTGTACACCGTGAAGATCGATTTTTAGAGGCCAACAAAAGAACTTTCTCTCATGAGACTTCCACAATTAAACTCCTAGTGAAATCAACTCAACCTAGATCAGTAGTGGAGGAGCGTGATTCCAGCAAACTATTTTTGATGGAAAATTTTTCTCTGAAACAATAGTATGGGGGATAAACCGAGATAGATCATATTTTCTTTGCAACGATTCCCGAAGCTTATTTTTACTTTCCCTTTCGTTCCGTTGTTCTGTCATCATACCCCTTCAGGGCAAGCGTATGTATTTCTGAACAAGAAACAGATAGAACAAGCACAGATAAAGGCTTTCCAAATAACTGGATCCCCAGATGGGAAAAATGCACCAGGTGTAAATTGGGTTCTGTGCCATCTTATGTTGAAAAGAAATCCTGAGTTCAAATGCTAACCTCTCGCCACTGCTTACCTATCGTCCTCGAACTTTACCTACTTAAGACACAGAAGAACAGCCTTATTGTCTGTCAGCTATGTACACAGCAGGTGCTTAGAAACGAGCTTCTCGTCATCCTGCACAGACGAAAAGAAAATTCAAAATGGACACTGGCAGGCAGTTAAGCGAGTGAAGGACGAGTGGACCCTTAAGATGCTATACTTGCCAAGTTCTAGTCATCATCAAGGAGTGAGAGATTTGAGTGTCAGTCCCGCCAGTTCACCTTCAAGTCGTTTGCGGCATGACGAATTGCCAAACACTTCGTTTTTTTCGAAGGTGGAAAATCGTTTCTCTGAAGTTTGCCTATAGGGGTGAATCATGGCCTCGATCACGAATATGATAATTTTCGTCGATAAAATTTAACGCTATTTTAGCGGCCCAAATTCACAGTCAACAGTTTCCGGTAGAAAAATAATCGTGTAAGGGTTGCATGGTCCTTACTGTGAATAAGGCATCTATTTTGGCGCTCAAGCCATTCGGAGCCATTGCAGGCGACAATCAAAAGTACAAAAATCTCCCATGGAGCGAAAATGGCCACAAATTTTCCTGCCATGGCAGTGCACGCCACACACGATATTCACTTGATCACCAAGGCCACTGCGAACATTTGGATGTCAACGACGCCCGTGAAACCTCTACCCTCTCTTCGGTATGTACCATTTACAATACTCCATTTTTGAGCGAACTTCAACAGAACTTCACAATATGTGACTATTTTTTTGCTACAGGTCCTATAAATTGGTTCAAGCCTGAATAACACCAACTCTCATCAATTTTTTGAGCATTTCTTGACTTTCAGAGCTTCGAAAAAAGAACCTTAACTTTGTAGCCAACGAGATAGCCTTCAGCAAGCAAAACGTTTGGGAAAAGCGCACCACCCCCTTGTTAGTAATTTAGAGAAGGATCAATAGCGAATAGTTTTTTTTTATGAAAACAAAGTAAAAGAATAAGGTGGCACTTAGAAAACTAAAACAAATATGATAATCACCAACCTCCTCATGGATAACCCTAAATGTATTTACATAAGAAGCTCCTCCCAAGAGTCCTTCATAGATGATAACACAGAACAAAATGAAAATGTGTGATATAAAACGACTAGTTGCTTCACAGTACAAAACAGTTGCATTGAGAACCTGAAACGCACTGCATCGAATGATGAATGGAAAAGAACAAGAAAATTAATAGAGGAGGCGCTATCGCAAGACCTTTTTGGACCGTGTTCAGGAGAAGGCAGAACTCCCACCCCCTCCTCCTCACGTCTGAAGCATTGACCATCTTATAACAAGGAAAAAGTGCCTGACATGGTTTCAACAGCGCTAATACCGCTATGCTCACGTATCTTACGATAGCGTTGAAAAGTACAAACCTGCAGCAATGCTAAAACTGGTAACACTTCTCCAGGTAATGCGATTAAATCCGATGAGGACCGTGAAATAAATACACCCACTTGGTAGAGCACCTGATACCAACGGTACTGACTTTGTGGAGTGAGACTGAACCCATGAGAACAGTCAAATTCTAGCAGTTCCAACTGAAAACAAAATTTCGACCAATATTTTCAAGTACTTGCCAATTATTTCATAGTAGCCATCAATTCTATCAAAACAAAACAAGACATAAAGGTAGGGGTATGCTTTATCAAAGTATACCCAAGCACCTGTCTATTATGTTGCATAAGAAAGACTACATTGAACGACCACCTCACGTAATATTTACTCGAATTTCGAAAACAAAATAAGGCACAACCGCGTATTTGACAGCCAGTTAGAAATCCCCGACGCAGTCATCAAAATGTTTTTGTAGAAAGAAAGTGAAAATCGCGAGTGAGATCTTCTTGTAAATCACTTTGCTTTCTGAATTGTGGTCCCCCCAGCGCGCCGATGTTTCTTGCACTGATAACAGAAACGGATGCATCCGTAGGTTTCGTTTTCGATAAATTGATGAGTGATTGGCAGATACGAGCGGCATGTCATGTGAAATGACCATGGGAAATGTCAGCATATCTCTACAAAATGTCCGTGGACGCGTGACTTCATTCGTGTTATCCGGAGATGGACCTAACGTTCTGCTGTCGCGCTGTCTTGACGATTGAAATAATCTTCTCGAAACAGTAAAAGAATAAACAGAAGCCAGAATAAACAAATATGCGAGCTGGGTCACAATTTACATCTTGCTTTACGCAGATCCTGATTGATGTAAGTACTCCGCGAAGTTAAACTACCAATCAACCGTAGTATCCATGTATTTGAACAGCGCGTCAATCAATTTGACAATCCTGATAACAAAACCGCCATTCGTCGCGATTCGCAGGCTCCAGGATGACGGACTGAATTGAGGAATGGTCAATGGTGAAGCTGGCTCCTCCAGCAGTATCAACAATGTGGGGTAAGCAGGTTTCTTCTGAGCTTGCTCAAAAATCTCCCCCTTCAACAAATCTATTTTCTCAAGTCATTCTCAAATCCTCTATTCTGGGAAAATACATTCATTGGCAACATTAATGTCTCTGGAAAATACCAGTGTTGGCGGTGTCCTCTTCGATCACGCATCGCAGAAGTGGCCTTTCATTTGGATCTGATTGACCACCGGACCGCTTTCCGTCGGGACCTGAAGAAACGCGAATCTGTAACAACGCCCATATTTACGATATCCAACTAGTGAACACGCAAAAAATATCTTATAACAATTTTCTTCGGTTTTGCGTTATGTTTCCCAAACTAACCATGAGTTCTGGTATTGTTTTGGGCGGCAACGCTCACATAGTCAGCTTTACTATAAAATATAAATAAATCATAAATAATCAATTCCCTTTCGCCAAAAGAGGCCCATAGATTGGCAATGAGAATTACCATTTCGCCGTCGTACGACATATGTGCTTGGATCACAGACTTTGACTCGATGCACCGTGGGAGGTAGTTCCAAGATAAACCAGAAGCTAAAGTAAGTCAGACGATAAACAATCTCAAGAAGTTAAGGAGGAGAAAAACCAACAAAATCCCCGTAAAGCCCAAAATACAGCTCACCACAAGCTGGAGAAATAATGTAGAAGAACCCTCTGCCACTAGTGCTTTTTCACGTTAGTTCACTCGTGACTAAGGATCCCTTGGTTTAGCTCGCCAGTTCATCTTACGTCGACCCCGCAATCGTACTAGATCGCACCATTGAATTTAGATACCGCATGACAGTGCGGTCGCACAACGGTGCGCACAACCGCGTTAGCCCATACGTACCTTCACCTCGACTCTACGATCGGACAATCGGTTCGACTGATTAGTAAATGCGACTCCAGGAGTCGACATAAGGGGCTCCCAGACAATACCTAACCATTTGGGCGCGGCCGCGGCGAACGCGGCCGAGTCGATAGTGCCCGCGAACCGTTGAAAACGCACTCGAGGTGCCCGCGAACTGTGCTGTGCTGAGTTCGCGGGCACCTATCAACTCGGCCGCGTTCGCCGCGGCCGCGCCCAAATGGTTAGGTATTGTCTGGGAGCCGACATAAGGTATTAAAATTGAGCTATTGAAGCGAAAACTTACGTATATGCGAAGATCAAAGGTACGATTAGCATACTGTACAGTGCTGTGTTAGGCGATAAATGTAGCATTAGCGGGTCAGTAAGAACGGCGTAAGTCAAGGCGCCGACAATTCCCGCACCACCCGTGCCCGACGACCACATTGATATAACTTGGCTGAAAGATGGTGAGTCAAGATTTAGAATAGTCTGAACCCTCCCCTCAATCGAAAATCTAGATTTGGTTTGAAAAACCGAGTAGATGCACGAAAGAATGATCTGACTCACGAGTCAAAATACGATGCCAAGGCCAGGTAAGATATTTCTCCCAAGCCAGATCCCCAACTGGCGACAACAACGCCTTAAGTGAGTATAACGGTGAGACACAAAACTCAACGGGTCTTAATTAGAACACGTACCGAAAAGAGCATAAGAGACGTTACTACTCGAAGCCACAAGGATAAAGCTCAACATTTGTGCAGTAACAACCAGCAGATGACGAAACCTGAGAAAGAAAAATTCTATACAACGGCGGGAGAATGTCTAAATTCTCATGGGACTTGATCTAAAATTTTAGTTTTACACTTTCGTCATAAGCGTCACGATCATAAGCAAATAGGCGAACAGCAGACCGAGCCACATTTACTTGCCGAATGTTTCAACGAAAGGGGGAAGGAGGGCGGCAGAGGTGACTTTTCGCTTCTCGCAGCGCCAAAAATTTTGCCGCAGAACTCCAGGTCTGCTCTCAAGGGTGAGCACGGGCTTCCGCAGCAGAAAGCGAAAAATTTGCTTTCTGTCCTTGCAGTCCACACCCAGAGGGACCATAATAAAAATTACGAAATTTTTGTGAATTACGCAAAACACTCTGGACTTCTCTACAAATTCTGATGCTTAGAAATCCCACAACTTCCATATAAGCGCTGCCGATCCCAGTCAAGTACGACCCACTAATCAAAAAGCCAAATTCATCCACTTCCATTCTTCACTTTTTCTAACGGCATCTCGTACCTCTCACACACTACTGTGAATACGCCACTGCTTCCATTCAACCTAGACTGGAGCATCAGGGGTGGAGAAAACCGCATGATTGCTTGTCCCTTTTTGTGTAAATAGAGCTTTTCAATGAGTGCGCGACAAAAGCATTAGCTTAAAGGCAAAGTTCGGGCTCAGACCCACCTAATGAGCCCTTAAAGTGGCTAGAAGCGCATGGGACACAACTGTAAGCGACTCGCCAAAACCCCGCATCGAAATGCGTCACTGAAGCGCTAGGGGCCAAGGACTTTGACACGCTCCTCCTGCCGCGACACGCTCCGCCCACCGCTCGATATTTTGTCCGCGTCGCAATGCTGATCTGCTATGCTCTCTCTTCTCGGATTTCTCTACCGCTCTCCGCGCTCACATTATCTCTCATCTCCCTGCCGGCCTTTTGAACTTCTCCGCAACGTAGAGCAAAAGGCTCGTATTTCCTGTGTATTTCACGATTTTTTTTCCTTTTTTCTCCACTGGCGGTCCACCTCCCACCCTACATCACATTTGAGTAGAATTACCTCATCAGTTTAAGCTTGAATCTTGCCTTTAAGTACAATCCTGCTGGAACCCCATCTGCATTTTACACTACACTAAAGTAATGCTTAACAAACACTACAAAGAGGAAAATACATAATAGCCTACTGATTTACCCGAAAGGGACCATGCGAATGTATAGCGGAGCAGTGACTTTAACCAAGAGGGCAGGAATAATATCCGCCAACAAAACAGCTCCTGTTGACATTCGTTGACATTGCCGATCAATAATATGTTCCTAAAAAGCCCCACGTTCATCAGCGATCTTCCATTCCTGACAAGAACAATATGACGGCTCATTCGTAAAAAAAACCTATCTCTATCATATAAATTGTGATGAAAATATGAACAACATTCAGAATATGACTTTCATTACCCGGCAAGCGTGCGTTCCGTTGTGCCTTTCAGCAGCACTCTCAGATTCCAATATGTCCTTCGCAGCACTTAACATTACGACGTATGCGAAATTGTTGCAGAGCCCCAGAATCCTAAAAACGACTTAAGCACCAGACAGCACTTTGCAATGGTGTTCACTAGAGGAATGAACAAAAAAATCGAATTTGTGTTTATTAGGGCTACATATTGGGAGGACATGACAGGGAATCCATTTGGCAACAAATGTCCAAAACGATGCATAATTCATTTACGTGATCTACTTTTTACAACGATTTAGTGGCGCTCTAATTAAAACAGTAAGTTGTCATCAGTAGTCAGAGACGTTTTATCGCACGTTCTGTTCCATAATAGTGGATATAATCTCAAACAAAAAAGAAGACCTTATCCCAAGTTAGGCTAGTCATCGCAGCCTTGTTTGGGAGGACAAAAACACTGGCTGAAAGTATTCAGCATAAATACCGGCATCAATCAATGTTTACGGACGAATTCGGAAAAAAAATCCAAAAACGCGAAATATCCTGCAGCTCCAATGTTCTGCCTCAGGAAATTTTCTACCATTTCATCATTTGACGAACAATGAGAACCATCGCTCCAAAATAACATCACGTTTTTAAAACAAAAATTTAGATAGATTTGCATCCATGTTAAATAAAGCTATTTAGACAGCTGAAAAATGCCTCGATAGCTTTTCATTGACGAGAGTCACGAGTACATATTTTTCGCTCACCGCGCCCACCGGCACACTCAGGGGTCGCCTGCCTTCCAGCTAGATGTATTCCCCTTCTTCAACCTTCGACCTTACCGTGAGATCTTCGTTTGAGGCAAGAATATTGCTCGCGAAGGAATGCATAAACTGTTCCAATAATTTATCCTCGAATGCATGTCTATTTTAACTAAATAATTGGCATCTGCAGAATGGTCTGCAGAAGATAATCTTCCAAATGTGCACGTCTATTGGATTGCTAAAACTCAAGGTGGTACTGTGCGGTGATGATCCACCGAAGAGGACGTGTTTGCGTTCGCTTACGTTTGTGCACAATGAATGCAGTGAGCAGCTATTCTTTCGCTAGCAAGGGTAACCACTCTGGGGCCGTACGATATGCTTCCCTGAACAGGGGGCTCTTCCCTGGTAAGGTATGCTCTCCCCGAAAACTCTCGGGGAAAGGCAATGCCACCGGTTCTCGGGGATGTCTCCCGGACTGCATGTCAATCACGGGGATATCTCCCCGATTGCATGTCAATCGGGGAGATATCCCCGAGAACCGGTGGGCGTGGCCTTCCCCGAGAGTTTTCGGGGAGAGCATACCTTACCAGGGAGGGTCCCTCTCCTGTTTGGGGAAGCATACCTTACGGCACCTGGATGACGAGCACCTTTGCCCTATCGCGAAGTTCTTCATGTACTCAAATCAATCCAACCCGTTCGGATGTGGTCGCGCTGCAGGTTCCTAACACTTGGGGGCAGAAGTGCGTGTGGACACTTGTCAGCCTCTACCAATAGCTGCTGAGCTCCCAGGGGTCAGCGCTTTGCCGGGGTTCACGATCCCATATCTATGTGACGCTATGATAGAAATGCTCTCCCATCGGTTTAACCAGGAATAGCGGAGGAACTGTGAATGCAGCGCCCAATATTTTTTTGCTGACT